CAAAGTCAACAAGCTCAGCGACAAGAGCAGACGCAGCAGTAGACTCAAACGACGGGTCAGTGACAACAGTGGCTAGCAGACGCGTGACAGTAGGGTGCTCAGCACGAAACCGGTCAGACTCAGGGTCTGGAACGTCAGGTAGAGAGGACGCAGGAGGAGACGGAAGAGGAACAGGCTGCAGAGCAGAGGAAGGACGACGAACTACGAGGTGTGTGCTGGGGACAGCCTGCTGACGCGAACGAGGAACACGACGACCGGGACGAGCAGGCGAGACAGGACGCGACACAGGCTCACGACGCTCAGCAGGACTACCAGTCTGCTCAGTGTAAGGAGAAGGAGCAGGCAGCGGTGAGCCAGGCTGTAACGGAAGACCAGTAGACGACGGGAGAGTAAGAACCTGACGAAGAACAGAGTCAGACGGCGGCAGAGACGACGGAGACGGCGGAGCGAAGAACAGTCGTGTCGGCGCAGCTGCATCAGTACCGGCAGCTCCAGCAGCTCCAGTACCCCCAGCAGCTCCAGTACCTCCAGCAGCTCCAGAACCTCCAGCAGCTCCAGAAGCTCCAGTCCCAGAGTCGTCACCTCCAGTCCCAGTGTCTCCAGCCCCTGTGTCTCCAGCAGTAGCACCCCCAGAACCAGCACCCCCAGTCCCAGGGTCTCCAGCCTCAGTGTCACCAGCAGCAGCACCCCCAGAGCCAGCACCTCCAGTCCCAGGGTCTCCAGCCTCAGTGTCTCCAGTACGAGTACCTCCAGAACCAGCGACTCCAGCACCTCCAGTAGACAAAGGTCCAGCACCACTCCTAGCTCCAGCAGCGCGACGCTGACGGTGACCGTACCAGTCCTGGAGCTGCTGTGGGGTGAGAGGCACACGTGGACGAAGGCGGCTACTCCAAGGAGACCGCGCAACAGCAGACTCAGAACCCTCAGCGCCAGCACCCCCAGCTGCTCCAGAACCTCCAGCGCCAGCACCCCCAGGCTCCTCACGCGTAGGCTCAGTACCCGCAGACTCGGCACCCGCAAGCTCAGCACCTCCAGGCTCCTCACGCGCAGGCACAGCACCCTCAGACTCGACACCCCCAAGCTCAGCACCGCCAGGCTCCTCACGCACAGGCACGGCATCCCCAGACTCCGCACCCCCAGGCTCAGCACCTCTAGGCGCCTCTCGCTCAGGCTCCGCACCCCCAGGCTCAGCACCCCCAGAGACAGCACCCCGAGCAGGACCACCTCCAGCAGGACCTGAGTCACCAGTGACCTCAACAGGCGCAGGTACCGGAGGGTCTACCTGAGAAACACCTGAAGGAGCAGGACCTGGCGCGGGGAGGGGGTCTACCTGGGGAGGACCTGGAGCGAGAAAGAGCGGCGGGGGGGGGCGAGAGACAGTGCGGTAGGGAAAGAGACGGTAGAAGGGAACAGACTCGTCAAAGGTGACGTCCTGAGACGCAAAGACACGGCGCGAGGTGGGGTCGTAAAACTGCCAGCCAGGCGCGTCAGGAGGAAAACCAAGGAAGACGCAGGGAATGGCGCGAGCAGAGAGCTTGTCCGCGGTGAGATCGCGGACAAAGGCACGAGCACCCCAGACCCGGAAACGCGACGCATCGCCAACCTCCCCCGTCCACAGCAGTGTGGGCGAGGTCTCCGGCAAGGAGACACGGGGCCAGAGGTTGAGCTGATGCGCGGCGTACCGGACCGCGAACGGCCACAGAAAATGGGGAGCCGCCGCATGGATCATGGAGGTACGAGCGACCTCCATGACTAAGCCAATGCGGCGCTCAGCAACCCCATTCTGCTGCGGAGAGGCCGGAAGCGTGAACGACTGGGTGATGCCGTGCTCCGCACAGAAGGCTGCCAAGAGGTCAGAGGAGAACTCACCACCTCTGTCAGAGTGCAGACGCAGGACAGGAAAGTCCCGCTCGAACCGCTCGCGGAGCTGGAGACGCACAGCGCGGATCCAGGGGATCAAAACAGCAGGGACGTCTCCCTTGCTGCGCAAGGGAAAGACCGTGGTGTAACGCGTGAAGTCGTCGACAACCAGCAGAAAGTACCGCTCACGGCCCTGTCCCTGGACGCGGGCTGGGCCCCACACGTCCAGGTGAAGCGTCTGCAGGGGAGCCTCTGTGGGAGGAAACGAGGAGGAGTGAGGAGCGGCGCGCTGCCGCCCCTCGACGCAGGGAATGCAGGGCGGCGCAGGCGAGGGAGGGAGGGCAGGCAGAGACCTGGGAAGCCCAGAGACCAGAGAGCGAGAGTGCATGCTACGAAGGCGAGGCAGGGAGGGGTGACCAAGGCGGTGGTGCCACAGGAGCGTGTCGTGCGACAGGCGGCGGCACTCACACTGGGTAGCTACCTGAGCAGACGCGTACAGCTGCGGAGACAAAGGAGCGGAGCGTGAAACAGTGGTGAGGGTGTACAGACTGGACCCCGGCTCACGAGTGAACGTGGCCAGGTGGCGGCCAGTCTTGGAGCACGTGCAGATCGCCACACGCTGCCCTCCAGGAGTCCAGGTGTCAACCCAGTGATCCTGGAGGACGGCGTTGCTCACCAGGTTCGTAGAGAACGAGGGAACGAGGAGACCTGACAGCTCACCAGACGGGACCGCCGGGCACGGGAGCACAGTCGTGCCGCGTGCAAGCACTGGGCCCCCAGAGGGGTCAGCCAGGGAGACAGGGACAGGTGCAGGGAGCGGAGTGACGGTGGTGCTATCGCGAAAGAAACAGCGGGAAGCACCAGAGTCAAGTGTAAACGTGTGCAAGGCCTGAGCCGACTCAGTACCAAGGGGAGCAGACTCACTAGCACCTAGGGCTGCAGTCCTTATACCGGGGTCAGGCGGCACACACAAGTAGCAGTCACCCTCAGCACTAACAGTCAATGCATACATGGCAGCAAGAATAACATCATAGTCCAGATCAAAGATAGGCACATCACGCCTAAGCAGCTCTGCCCAGTTGGGGAACTCAGTAGCATCAGGATACTTAGTACGCCAGGCGTCACTAAGCCTAGCAAAACAACGATACTCAGTGTGAAAACCGTTGCAGGGGCGACCCTTGCGGGGGCCAGTACGAATGACATAGGGGCAGCGGTCAGAACCCCGAGACGCCCCACGCCCAGCATACCAGTCATTGAGCTGCTGGGAGGTGAGGGGAGGAAGCTGCTGCTGCTGCTGTGGCTGTTGCTGCTGCTGCTGCTGCTGCTGGCCACCCTTCTGGCCAGATCCACCCCCACTCCCACCTCCACCGCCACTGCCGCTGCCTCCTCCCCCACCACCGCCGCCGCCGCCTCCACCGCTCCCGGTCCTGCCGCCACCCCACCCACCGCCTCCACCCCCACGGCCACCCCCACCACCTCCACCACCCCCGCCGCCTCCACCACCGCTCCCTCCACCGCCACCTCCGCCACCCCTGCCACCCTTGCCGCCCCTGCCACCACCACGCTTCCCACCAGGAGCGGAAGCCGCTGCGACCTTCTCCGCACCGAGGAAGTCGACAGCAGTAGCAGCAGAGGCGTAGGAGGGGTCAAGAGGGGAGGGGGAGCACCCCTCAAAGAGGGGAGTGCGGGGAGTGCCACGAGCAGCACCGACAGCGAGGATGTTCTTCTCTGCTGCGACCAGCTGCTGCTCGAAGTCGTCCAGAGTGATAGTTGGAGGATCCTTGGCAAGGAAGTAATCCCTGACAGAGCGAAGAGTGTCAGGGAGGCGGGTGACGAGGATGTAGAGGGTGAAGTACAGCGGGGGGGTGTTCGTGGCGAGGAACTCTTTGGTAAGAGCGGCTCGAAAGCGGGCGTCACTAGCGCGGAGGTGAGTGATAAGGTCGGCAGCAGTGTGAAACGAGGCTAAGTCTGGGAACAGGTAAGGCAGGATGAGACTACCAACGGTGGCTGTGGTCGGGGCGGAATAGCGGGCAACGACAGCATCATACAGCGTCTTAGCAGTCTTAAGCTGGTTGAAATGCGCGCGCTCAGAGATCGGTAGGTGATTGCGAATAACAAGATTGGTAGGAATCATCTACTCATGAGTTATTCTCTGCGCGCCTTGTTATTCGCAATCACCTACCGATCAATCCTGGGTAGATCCCGGCCTACGATCAATCTCTGATCGCAGCAGTCTCCCTCTTCCTCGCTATTGCAGTGACTACACGGAAGATTTTTCAGATCTACAACTCGCCTCAGCCCATCATCCCAGGCCATGCTCGTAGAGAAACTAGTTCCCCTCGTGTTTTTTCAAGGCCTTAAGAAAGGTACAACAATCAGAAGTATTAGGAACATACCTCAGTGTACCCTTCTGACACTCTTAGTGTCCATGCATCTTGTAAGAATACCATATTACCCCGGATTAAAGCGCAGATGCGCTTATAATAAATCAGTGTTTTTTAGGGGGGTGCGCTTATAATTGAGTAAAAAATATAAGCGCATGCGCTTATATAATGACTAATACAAATTTATATTCTTACTGCACCAGATTGTACATCCCCTTATTGCAATTTTAATCGAAGCGCAATGATAGGGGGTCACAATTCAGAGTCGCACGCGGGCGAATTTCTGCGGGCACACAGGGGCAGTTACACGTCATTGCGCCGGAATTCCAGCTCATAATGACTGGACGCGCAGAATGTAAGGTCCTCGCGAGTCAATCGAACCGAAATTGGTGTGACCTCGCTGCAAATTGGAATTTCGTTACCGTTTCAAGCAAATTCAAATTTTAATATTATACATGCGCTTATAATAAGTCAGGGTTTTACAGGGGGTGCGCTTATAATTGAGGATCGGCCATAAGCGCATTGCTCCAGATAGAAGCGCATGCGCTTATCATAGGCCTGCGCTTTTATCCGGGGCGATATGGTATGTTGCACTGCAGAAACAAAAGTACATATTGTGCCTTTGAGATGGATATCTATCTCCAACAGTAATGGAGTACCTATTGTTGCATACAACACACAAGAAACAGGCGGTGCTACGGTGTAAAGCATCAACTAGCTGCGCCTCAGCTTGCTCCTCTGCTTCACCACTGAAATTTAGGGGAGTGGAGTAGGCAGACAGAATTGTGTGAAGAAACAACGGGGAGGTGGTGTGAGGTGCAAGGGAACAACGGCAAGGGGATACAAGCAAGCACACATGATGAAAGCAGGGCTGGGGTGACAGTGATGGGTGCACATGCATGGGAACGAGAGTGCGGAAGGGGGGAGGGCGTGAAAATGAAGGGAAGGGTTGAGAAGGGATGGGGAAGGGAAGGGCAGGGCAGGGAGGGAAAGGCAGGGATAGGGAGGGCAGGTGGGAACAGGGCAGAGGGTGGCGGGAATCAGGGAAGGGGATGGGGGGAAGCAGGGAAGGGGATGGGGGGAAGCAGGGAAGGGGATGGGGAAAAGCAGGGAAAGGGATCGGGGGATGCAGGGAAGGGGATGGGGAAAAGCAGGGAAAGGGATGGGGGGATGCAGGGACGGGGATGGGGGGAAGCAGGTAGAGGGTGTGGGGGGAAGCAGGGAAGGGGGTGGGGGAAGCAGGGCGGAGGGAGGGGGGAAGCAGGGCGGAGGGATGGGGGAAGCAGGGCGGAGGGATGGGGGAAGCAGGGCGGAGGGAGGGGGGAAGCAGGGCGGAGGGAGGGGGGAAGCAGGGCGGAGGGAGGGGGGAAGCAGGGCGGAGGGAGGGGGGAAGCAGGGCGGAGGGAGGGGGAAGCATGGCGGAGGGAGGGGGGAAGCAGGGCGGAGGGTGGGGGGAAGCAGGGCGGAGGGAGGGGGGAAGCAGGGCGGAGGGAGGGGGGCAGCAGGGCGGAGGGAGGGGGGAAGCAGGGCGGAGGGAGGGGGGAAGCAGGGCGGAGGGAGGGGGGAAGCAGGGCAGAGGGAGGGGGGAAGCAGGGGCGGAGGGAGGGGGGAAGCAGGGCGGAGGGTGGGGGGAAGCAGGGAGGAAGGAGGGGGGAAGCAGGGCGGAGGGTGGGGGGAAGCAGGGAGGAGGGAGGGGGGAAGCAGGGCGGAGGGAGGGGGGAAGCAGGGCGGAGGGAGGGGGGAAGCAGGGCGGAGGGAGGGGGGAAGCAGGGAGGAGGGAGGGGGGAAGCAGGGAGGAGGGAGGGGGGAAGCAGGGAGGAGGGAGTGGGGAAGCAGGGAGGAGGGAGTGGGGAAGCAGGGAGGAGGGAGTGGGGAAGCAGGGAGGAGGGAGTGGGGAAGCAGGGAGGAGGGAGTGGGGAAGCAGGGAGGAGGGAGTGGGGAAACAGGGAGGAGGGAGTGGGGAATGCTGGTGGTGTGTGGGGGGGAAAGGAGGCGGACAAGTGGGGGGAATGCTGGTGGTGTGTGGGGGCCTTCGCTACCGACGGGGAGTGGCGACTTGGATAGACATGGGGATAAGGGGAAGTGCGTGTGGATGGGGGAAACAGAGGCGACAACAGGAGGCGAGGGCGTTGAGGAGCAACGCAAGCGACGAGGGAAGAATGAGGGAGATTCGGGTAAGCGTTTCACACGCGGGAAAGAGCGTGAGACGCAGGCAAGCGGTGATGATGCTGGAAAGCGCGGGTGACCTCGGGTAAGCGCGGGAAACGCGGGTACGCGCAGGAAACGCGGGTAAGCGCGGGTAAGTGGGGATGACGCGGGTAGGTGCGGGTGACACGGGTAAGCGCGGGTGACGCTGGAGAGCGCGGGAAACGCGGGTAAGCGTGGGAAGCGCGGGTGAGCGTGGGGGACGAGGGCAAGCTCCGTGACGAGGGGAAACGCTTGCGACGGAAACCTATTTTACCGTATGTTAAAAAATAGGTTTTTGCCAGCATGAACTGTCTCAGTTCATTATCAAAGCGAAAGATCCCGGGTTCAAGACCCTTTGCTGTCATGTTTCATAAATGCTGCATTAACAATCCAACATGTTTGTGTAGAAATCACGCTTTTCTTTTTAGTAACCCTGAAAATTCAGGCCCATTTTTCTACGAAGGCTGTCAATCAGCCTTTTTTCTCACATGGACACTGATGGGTCAAGGTACTTCAAAACGAATCTGAGGCCCTGGTGTCAGGAGGACTCAGTGGAGACGTCACGAAGCTGCATTGATTCAATTACTTTCAAAATAGCCTGTTTGTCTTCCTCGAACGAGGAAATTTCTGCAAACGGAAAATGAGAAACGGGACTTGAGAAACGAGCGGGAAAAGAGCTCCTGTGCAGCGCATGCGTTGTGGACGGAAAATCCCAAAGCTATACCTGCTTCTGTTCCTTTCTCAAGTGTCAGGGCTGGCAAGAAGCGGAGCAGCTTATCTTTGTTCTTAAGAAGGATCAGCTGAACATCTTGTGGCTGCTTCGGGTTGGCCACAATCACCTAAAAAAAAGCAGTGGGTGAATGAGTGTTACAATCAAGGTATCGAGATTGAAATAGCACCTCTTTGGTATGACATTTGACGCTACACACCTTGAAGATGTGAAACGCATCAACTTGAATCACTTTACTTGTATCCTGGAATAAAAAAGAGGGAAAAGCTTTATACATCCAATAAATGGCCGCAATGGAAAAAGATGCAAGCCAATCGAGCCACCGATTACCCTCAGGAGGTTCATGGATACAATCAGGTTGTTGACATCACTCGCAAATCTCAAAGTCACCATGACATAGGCACGATCCAGAAGCATGTCTGCCAAAAGCTGTAAACAGAGGAATAGTAGGAATAAGTTGGCTCCATAAGAATTACCAGGTTGTAGTGAAGAAAGGGATAGACAGCAACAGGCACAAGAGAGACAGGAAGAGTTGCAGAGGATAAAATGACATCAAACAAGGTGAAAGACGAGACGAAATTAACCTTGGTTGCAACACGCCTCGTAATGTAGGAAGATGACTGCAACAACTTGGTGTACGCTTCAAAAAACTGCAACAGGAAAGCATGAGATGGATTTAGTCCAAGTCATTAAGGCATAACGTAGAGCAGGCTTGATTCCAGCATTCAATCATTTGCCTTGGCATAATTCCTCAATACAAAATCAGCTGCTGTGGCCTTGTGTCGCATCAAGAGCTCCTGCGAACACAAAATACTCAAGATGCTCAGTAAGTCAGAGGTGCGTGAGAAAAGGAGAGAATAGCCAGTGATAAACAAGGATGTACCCTAAATGTTGCAGCAGCATCAGAAGAAACTTCAAAACTGGGTAGTTCGACATGGTGGAAGAACTTGAAAAAGTCTTTGCTCTCCAAGACGTACCTGCATCGAAAAAACTCAGTCACTATCAAGCAGAGGCAATGCCACTAACGGAACAACCGCACGCTTCAACCTGATGCATACTTTGCAACCGATTGGTGGCGAATGCATTCCCGAAGCATCAAGCCGTAGTAGAGTGCCAGAACTGGATCCTCGTATCTGCATCAAAATAAGTACATCATGTGAGCCCTCCACCAGCACTGTCTTGATGCCGATTTGACCATACCCTTTTATGAGAAGGTCCAGAAGGTCCGTGTGTTGCATAAGGTACTCGCCCGCAACCATGCGATTTTGAATTTGCCTCTTTTGCAGGCTCGCATTGATATGCACCGCATACCGTTTTGACTGCACACAATAAATGCCAACTATCAATACAACTCTCAGCACCTCAATTTCACAGGACAGGCGAATAAGCACACCAAAGGCAACACTTACATCAAGAGACAGGGAACCAAGGTTCCTAATGAGAAGTTCCAAGAAATTCCCCTTAAACACCTCTGCTCCCACGAGAGTCACAGCGTCTGCGTTCGGGAACGTCTCAGTATCCCCGTACAACACTATACGAATATCATACAAATGCTTCTCCAGGTCTTCGACGATCTGAAATTTCAAGAAAGCAAAGAATCTAAGATGGCAATCGTAATGACATTCACAAGCTCATGAGAGCTCTGCATACCTTCGCAGTTTTTTTGGCATCTTGGGAGCTTCCCAGTAACGTCAGCAGCTCAACGGTCGACTTCACAAGCTCGGCAGGCGACTTCGGCTTGCTCGACTTAAAAATGTTCCTCATACCTGGTGATGCTAGGAATTTCGACATCTTCAAACAGTTTCGCTTCTCAAGGTCAAACCACTAACGCCAGTCAAATGGGCTTTCGCAGATAAATGACTTGTCGGCGAACTCACGGTCCAGGCCAATGCAGCCTAAACGCATTCTATATGTCAGGAGAAAACACAGTGGTCCATGAGACTAAGCGCAGACAGCTCCATTGACAACCTAAAGAGCTGACCTCCAAGAGGAAAGCGCATCAAATATGGGCTAAGTCACTCTTCGCATTGAACACATCTCTTTAGAATACCTCTGAAACATCCATTGAAGAGACCCCAATTGCCTACACCCACCCTCACGATAGGGGTTTTGGGTTACAGGGGTTCTTACTGTTCATTCTGAACAGTACTTCCCAACCTTATCATCACCTTATCTTCACTAGTGCAACGTAGCACTCTAGTTTCCTTGCCTTCTACTTTCTAATCCCACAAAGAACTTTCCAACTATCTTACTTTCTAAATATCCCTCTTGCATGCAGGGCCGTGCTAGGATTTGGGGCACCCTGAGGCCTCAGGGCACCTTTCTAGAATCTTAAAAGATGCCCTGATTTGTCAGGGCAAATTTTCAAAACTATCCTGTATGTTCAGGGCTTCTGCAGAAATCAATCCTGACCTGTCAGGGCAAAAAAAACAGTGTTCTGGGTTGAGAATTCAACACACACCAGAACAGACTCTGCTGCTGGTGCCGTTCGTACTAGCACCGGCGGGTGTGACTACGGGAGTTTGAGATGAACCAGCTGCAGGTGAACATGTTAGTAAGGTGGACCCTGTTCCCAGTCTTATGGCGGGGGGGATCGGAACAGAACTGTCAAAGGAATCGTGCGAAGCGAAGGCGGGAAACATACACGGGAACAACCACCCGTCCCCCCCCCCTCCCCCCTTCCCTCCTCCCTCTCCCCTCCCCCCCTCCCCCCTCAAAAAACGCGTCAGGGCAGGCCTCGATATTCATCCTGACGCTACAGGGAAGAACACTACGGCCATCCTTGTTGAATGTTCAGGGCATTTCATATAAAACATCCTGAGAGCTCAGGGTTAAAATTGACACCATTCTGAAATGACAGGGTAAATCCAAAACTTCATCCTAAATTCAGGGTAATCAGGGTGTTTTGCCCTGATAACGTTGGGCCTGCTTGCATGCTATAGAATGCTTGCTTGTTTTCACCAATATCAACCAAGAATCATTCAACTGTTTACTCAGTAAATTCTTCGCCTATTTTGCAAATAATTCTTTCACCAAAGTCTTCCGCTGCATTTTATCATCGATTTAATCGACCCCGCTATTCTTTAGCGGATTTGGGCCAATGGCCCAACACTTGGTGTATCAAGAGCCTTCGCGGGAAGCGACTTCCAACGAGCGACCGTCGACGACGAGACTATTACGATGTCGTCGCGCTGCTGTGCCGACTTGCAGACTTGAAGTCGTGGAGCCGACTGTCAAGATATGAACGGACGGGTTTAGGTGGGGCCTAGGCTTAGGAGCCTAGGCCCAAGGGAGTCTAGAGGGTTGTGCCAAGAGGATGACGAGAATGATGGGGATTCACTATAGCAGAGAGGGTACATATAGAGAAGAGGTGGTGGCACAAGGGGGGGTATACCACCAAGAGAGACAAACATACTACACTACCTAGTGTACATGCAGTTACATATAACAATATAACTTCTAACATCCCCCCTTAACTGCATGCACAACTAGGAAGTGAGAGGCAGGCAAGTGAGGCGGAGGAGGCGAGAGAAAGGGAGAGATGGGGGGCGTGGATGAGCGTGACAACTCATTGCCCGGGGTAGTCTTTCACTTCCAAGTCCTCACTCATCCCCCCTTAACCTCTCTCCCCCCCCCCCCACAGCAACAAGGGCTGCAGTGGAGACAGGAAGAGGGAAGGGGGGGACGGCTGGTGGTTCATGTCAGATTATAATGCTTCTCTAGCCTCCAGTGGGGTACTCTGTAGTCCTATTTGTATCCCAACTGTTGCTAGTCAAACCCTCTCCTTTGCTCATTTCTCTCTTGCCTAGCTAGGTAAACCCTAGCTATGGCTCCTCATGATTCTAGCTCATATTTTAACAGTTCACACCCGCCACCCCCACGTCTCCCTCCCCCCCCCCCACGGCGGGAGCCGCGGAAGGGAAGGGCGGGGGGGGGGGGGGGGAGCTGCTGGTGCCGGCGTCCCCTTCTGGCGCAAGCGCTGGCGCTTCGTGGCTGGCGCATACGCTGGCGCTGGCGCTGGTCGTAGGTGCTGGCGCTGGTGCTAGCGCTTGCGTTCCGCGCTGGCGCTGGCCGCGAAGTGCTGGCGCAGGTGGCGTTGGCGCGGACGACGGGCAGGGCGACGCGGGGGCGCGATGGACGGGCAGGGCGCACAGGGCGCGACGAACGGGAGGGCGCACGGGGCGCGACGAACGGGAGGGCGCACGGGGCGCGACGAACGGGAGGGCGCACGGGCCGCGATGAACGGGAGGGCGCACGGGGCGCGACGAACAGGAGGGCGCACGGGGCGCGACGAACGGAGGGCGCACGGGGCGCGACGAACGGGAGGGCGCACGGGGCGCGACGAACGGGTACAGCGTGACGGACCAACGAGGCGCTCACCATGGAAAAAATATATACTTAAACCCGAGGAACGAGTGGCTCTGATATCATGTCAAGATATGAACGGACGGGTTTAGGTGGGGCCTAGGCTTAGGAGCCTAGGCCCAAGGGAGTCTAGAGGGTTGTGCCAAGAGGATGACGAGAATGAGGGGGATTCACTATAGCAGAGAGGGTACATATAGAGAAGAGGTGGTGGCACAAGGGGGGGTATACCACCAAGAGAGAACAACATACTACACTACCTAGTGTACATGCAGTTACATATAACAATATAACTTCTAACACCGACATGGATGAAACCATTCTCAGAACACGAACACAACGGAATTGCTAGTGTAACCAAAGAATCGTAGTGAATAGGATAAGCCTGCCAAGTCTAGGAAAGACAGTAAAGTCTTTGTACTGACCTTGTTTGGTGACAGTTGAAAGAGAACAAGATGATTATAAGATAGAAGCACAAGAAATCAAATAGCAAACTAGCTATCTATGTGCTCTGCGGGGTATATTCCCTTCTTAACTGTATTGCATAACTATAGTGACCACGACTATTGCCATTCTCGACAGTTACCATGTTGCAGCGATCAACTGTCGCGCGGTAACTAATCAATCAACAGTCACGACCGTTGATTGTCTTCAACAGTTGACCTTCGGGTGACTCTCGACCTTCCGCATGCTCTATATGAGCTATTGCGGTACTGGTACAGTGCGTTGTTCTGTTAAGAACTGACGCGCTAGTGGGAAGCCTTCGGGAGTGCTTATAATAACCTTTCGGTTATTCCAACACTCCCCTTCATTCCTGAAGGTGCGCCACATGGGATTTCTTGGTGATCCCGCAGAGGTCGGCGCAGTGCTAGAACTGTTGACGTGGCCATTTTTTTCGTCAGGAAATCAGCTGCCATGTCACCGGTTGGGCAGTACGTGAGTTTGACTCTCCCCTTGTCGGTTTCATCCTTGACGAAGAACTAACGGAGTGCGATGTGCTTCGTGCGGTTCACGAAGCCGGGTTTGTTCGCGATCTTGATCGCGCTCTGGTTGTCGCAGAGTAACGTGAAGTGCCCGTTCATCGTCACTTTCGCTTCTTGCAGGAGCTCCATTAGGTACAGTCCTTCGCGAACAGCTGCGCTGGCGGCGATGAACTCAGCTTCGGCTGACGAAAGGGCGATGAGTTCCTGCTTCTGGGAGTTCCAGGAGATGAGTCCAGCAGGTTGGAGCTGAAAGATGAATCCTGTGCGGGAGCATCTTTTGTCAACATCTCCTGCGTGGTTTACATCTATGTAGCCATGGAGCTGTAGCGGTGAGGTTGGCTTCGTAGGTGAGGCCGACGTCAGGGGTAGAGACGAAGTATTGAAGTGCGCGGCGTAGATCCAGTAGATTCTCCCCTTCAGGTCGCTTCAGGCACTGCGCGAGCTGGCTTGCGACGTAGGAGAGATCGGGCCGGCACGTGACGGCGGCGAACAGGAGACACCCCAACTGCTGTTGATAGAGCTGATGATCGTCGATGGAAAGAGGCGTGGTATCCGGCTTATGATTAGGAGGAGGATTGCGGTAGGGAGTGGTGAGGTTGATTGGGGCGACGGCGAACTTCTTCGCGAGGGTTTTGGCGTATTCAGCAGCGGAGAGATGGATGGAGGAGGCAGATTGAGTGATGTTGAGCCCCAGAAACTGCGTGACGTTGTGATTGATTGTCACTCCGAGCTTCTCCTTGATATTGGCTTCGAACTAATCGAGCAGCTCCGCATCATCGCCGGTGTAGAGGAGATCGTCGACGTAGGCGACGAGGAGGATGAACTTGCTGCGCGACTCCCTTCTGTACATCCCGAGGTCATGCGGCAGCTGAGCGAATCCGAGCTCCGTGAGAACGGAGTGGAGGTACTGCTGCCACAGGCGACGTGCCTGCTTGATTCCATAAAGGGATTTCTGAAGAAGGCAGACAGCGCCGTCGTTTTCTTCAAAGGCATGCGGCTGCCCGACGAAGATGATGGCGTCAACGGGGCGTACAGAAATGCGATCCCGACGTCGATTTGACGGAGCGGTCGCTGTTTGACGGCTGCGATGCAGATGAGAATGCGCACCGAGGTGTGGCGTCCGACAGGCACGTAGGTGAGAGTGAAGTCCACCTGGTGCGTTCTCTCAAAGCCGCATACCACCCATCTCGCCTTGTACTTATCAATTGAGCCGTCCGCCAGAGTTTTGATGCGGAAGACCCACTTGCTGCTGAGAATTTTCCTCCCCTTGGCTGATGAGTGAGGGACCAGCTTCCAAGTTCCACGCCTTTTCAGCGACGCAACTTCTGCGGCCATGGCTGCTCTCCACTTTTTCACTGTCGGGGCCAGACAGAGCTTGGCGAACAGTGGTAGGTTCCTTAGGAGAGGCGTGGCGAACAG